CCTTAAATGCTTCCAGCCTCACAGTCCAGCAGTCCTCATTTTAGTGGATTTTAGAGTAGACTGCCCCTGTTCTGTTTTCCTATAACTTTCTTAGTGAGAAAGTCATGAAGTTCTGGAGTTGGCGCATGGTGTGATGGCATCAGTGATAACTGGTGAGTCCAAAGGGGATGATCTTAATTTAGTGGCGCCTTTATGTGTGGAACAGGTTCTGAGTCAGTTCATTTCTTGATCCTTTAGCATGGAGGGACAGACCCTCAGGCAGGGTCTTTTACACATGTTGGCACTTTTCACTGCTGTTCCTCTGACTTCCACGTACTTCCACACAAGGGGAGCCTTAGATTTGTTCACTCTTTCAGCTGATGGAGCAGACTTTAGACATCATCATGTTAAAGTCTTTCTTGCCTACTTTAATAACAAGATGACTCCTTTGCTTGGCTTAGAGCAGATGTTATAGTCATTCTCACCAGTGCCACTTGTAACATGGTCAGTGTGAAGTCGTTTTCAAGGCTAATTTTTAATCAAGTGCAGAGTCATATATTTTCAGAAATATTCTTTTGAAAAATTCAGAGATCCTGGCTAAGACACTCTCATGTCTGGCCTTCTCTGGTAGAAATGAAGGTATTAGCTTCATTATAGCCTGAATGGAGAATTGGTACACAGAAGCCTAGATTTTGCTGAGGACCAACCTTGAATCAACACTTCTAAGTTTTAGATCAGTGAACACTAACGTACTCTTTATATTTCTTTGGTTGCTTTATCTGTAGACCTTGTTAGTGAAAGAAATCTGTTCTCCTGGGGTGGCTTGGGCAAGTGAATCCGTTTCCTGACCACAAAATTCAGAATCAAGATAACAAACAATATTAAAGGCGGGTTCATTCGCTTAATCTCGATGGGGGATTGCTTTGGAATTATTTTCAAAAAGGAGCTTTTTTTTTTTTTTAACACTAGATAGATACTCCCACATATATTTTATCATATTTATATAGATATATATATAGATATTTATATATATAAGATACATATGCATCTTTACATATATATATAAATATATGTCTTTATATTTATAGGACACCCCAGTGATACCTTGGTTTTGAAATAGATGTAGCACCAGCCAGAAGATTCAGGGATCAAACCCAAATACTTACAACATCTACTGAGTTCCCTACCCTGTGATAGGTGTGACGGAGGATGAAAGAGACTCTTTTAAAGCTTTCAAAAGGTTATATTCTCTCTTGTTGGATAGACCTGACAGATTCATGTGAAACAGCTAGAGAATCATTTAACTCTTGGTGACAAAGTGCTAGAGCTAGGATCGGCACCAAGGCATATCTTGCAAAGGCTTCTTTCATTGGCAGACCAGCCTGGCCAACTCCTAAAATATCTTCTCCTCTCTAGGGCTTCTAAGCTCTGCACAGGCTGCCAAGGCCAAAATGACAACCCAGGAAGGTGGGAAACTGAAGTTGGACAATATTATTGTTACATTTCTTACTGTTGATTTTTTTTTTTTTTTTAGATCTTTTCAGGTTTGTTTTGCCTTTTATCAGAAACTCGAATCCCTTCTCTCTCTGTGCTCTCCCTCCATTATGAAATATAGTTTTCGGTGAGGACCAGGGGGATGGGTAACAGATGAGATGAGCATTGAAGCACTTATTGGACGGGAAGCCATGCAGCCTAATTTTAGTCCAGGCTCCGCACCGACCAGCTGCATGATTGTGGGCCCAGGTTCTTCTGTAAGAAGAGGAATCTATAGCATCCTTCCTGATTTAACAGTTCATGATTCCTCAGCGAGGAAAACTAGCAAGGAGAGGCCTTGTACTGACTCTTCTGGTGACAGGATATCTGGAGAAAAAGTGGGATAAAAGAAGTGCTGGAAAAAGCCATTTAGACCAATTTTATTTTTCAGAACTCCACAGGACATGGAGTTCTATGATAGGGAAGGTACAATGAGAAATCATAAAGCAGGGGCCAGATTTATTGTAGACTTGAAGAACTTCCACAGGTTTTTATTTATTTCTATTTATTTTATTCTTTATTTATTTTTTAATTGGGGCCAATCTATCTTACACTTCTGGGTCATCCCTGTTCAGGTTTTCTTAACCACCAACCCTGGAAATATGCAGTTGTTTACTATCTGATAAGAACACATACTGATCTTTCAGTCTCTTCCTCGGCCCTGCCAATTAAAAAGTCAGAATTAAAGTTATTCCACAAGTATGCCACTGCCACTGTCAATGGCTTGTGGGTCTGATGACCTCTTTATGAAATTATCTCTAAAATGTTTTCCGTTTCTACTCAGGGTTTCAATAAATGTCAATTTCCTTTTCTTTCTTCCATTCTAAAGACTTTAAAATTTTAACCTTTTAGAGAAATTTCGATGATTACACTGTATATACATCTTGCTCTGTTAACCTTCAATAACTTTAGAAAGAAAAAACAAGCTCCTCAATTTTAAATTTTTATCTGAAGACTAAAGTGATCCTTACGCATCCCCTGAGAGGAGCTCTCTTGCTGACACCCTAAATCAGAAGCAATTGCAGAAGCATAGAGCATTTACTTTCAAAGCTAATTTCACGGAGATTATTCACCTACTAATGGAGCCCTTTTTGCCCTGAGGGTGAAACATATCTAAGATTCCTGCTCTTTGCATAAACATCCTGAGTGAAAAATTGCCACCGGGCAGAGGAACCTGATGGGGAGGTGAGGAAGTGGCTCAACAATAAGAGAATAGTTTTATGTTTATTTTATAGGTAAGGAAACAGAGGCTCAGAGAGGTTTAGTCAATTGCCCCAGGCCATGCAGCTCATAGTTGAATGGAGGTCTGAATTCTCCAAAGTCATTATCTCTCTTACTGTGAATGTTATAATGGCTGCATAACGAGGGTGTCAGATCTGTCTTGCTTTACACTGGAACATGGAATGGCTTTTCCACAGCAAGTGCCAGAGCTTCTCAACCTCAACTCGTCTGTATCCTTTGAAACTAATCAGGCTCTCTCTAATAGGCATAAGAAGGAAGCTAAAGTGGGGAGGTAAGGGGAAGGAAGGACAAATTTGACCAACTTCAACCATTGTCCTTGGAGGTGGGTATGGAGAAGGGGAAATGAGTCATTTGATTTTGTTTGTGTATTTATTTATTAATTGTGGTAGAATACCCATAACATAAAATGCACCACCTTAACCATTTTTACATGTCTAGTTCAGTGGTATTAAAGTACATTTGCGTTGTTATGCAACCGCTGCTACCAACCACGTCAAGAACTTGCATTGTCTCAATCTGAAACCGTGCTCCCATCAAGCACGAACTCCACGTCCCCGCTCCTCCCAGCCCCTGGCACCACATTCTACCCTCTGTCTCTATGAGTTTTACTACTCTACGGACATCATACCGTACTGGGCTCATATTGTATGTGGACTCCTACAATATTTTTCTTTTTGTGACTGGCTTAGCATGTCACTTAGCATATTCAGTCCCATTTTATTACATGGCCTACTATTCCATAGGCTTGTTGTAAGATGTTTAAATCAGAACCCCAGGGTGCTGCAAGTCTACACAAACAGAATTGGGTGTCAGGCTCGCCTTCTGATGCAGAGGCACCTTAGTGAGTCCCCATCACACACTGCACTAACAGGGTCATGCTGCAGAGTAAAGGCATAACCAATTATACTCGCCAATTATTCTCTTATACAATTATTATTTGTTTTAAAACTCGTGAGCTCATTCAATTCTCAAAATAGCACCATGCAAAAGGTTTATTATTTCTGCTTCTCAGATGCAAATTATAGGCTTGGAGGGATTTCTGTACTTGTTTAATGTTCTACAGCTACTAAGCAACAGTGTTGGGATCGAACTCAGGTCCCCTGACTCCAAAGCCTGTGTCCCCATCACCAGATCACAGTGCTGCAGCTGCTCTCCCACAGCCTGGACTGTAAGCTGGCTGTGAGGTGTGTGCATTTGACTGAGGGTATCTTCGAGTTTGCTGGCAGGGCTTGTTTCAGCCAGAGGGAGTGACTGCTCAGAGGCTGTGAGTATGAACTTTCTGTGTCTGATCACCGTTGTCAGTGTTCAGAGCCCTCTGCAGTGTGTGCCGGCATCTCTAACTTGCCTCTGTTTCGGGAGGCAGTCCTTACACCCACCTCAGAGCCTTTCCTTGTGTAGACTTACTGTGCTCTGAAGCTCTGAGTTAAGCACACTTGATATCCCATGGAACAATAGGCTGTTATAAAATGGAACTTTAAATGACTTTTGAATTGTTTCTTAGCTGCTGGTCCCAGGAGAATTGAGGCAGCCTGTTACCGATTCACATTTCCTATTCTCCATCTCTCCCTCCAAGGACAGTGGTTGAAGCCTGGTGACCGTCCTTCCCCCTTTCAGCTTCCTTCTTATGCTTATTAGGGAATCAGGTTAGTTTCATAGGTTGCAGAATAATTAAGGTTGAGAAATCTGGCACTTGCTGTAAAAAACTGGTTCCACATTACATTGTAGGGTAAGACTCTTTGAAACTTGTATGCAACCAAGATCACGCACACTTCAGGAGCAGATCTAATAGTGGAAGCATCTTTGTTTTAAAAGATACAGACCTGAGTTCAAAGATGAGCTGTGTGGCCTTGAGTTAGTGACCGAATCTCTCCGAGTCTCAATTTTCTTACGTATAAAGTAGCGTCTCATTTTTGTCGTGAGGATTAAATTATCTAATGCGTGTGCCTGGATCAGAGAAAACACTTAAGGCCCTTTATTATAAACTTAAATCTTATTTTAGGAATGATATCAAGCAGCTGATGGTCATTGTTTTGTGTCCCATCATCACCTGTCTCATGTGGGACTTTAATCACAACAACTGATTATCTCATGGAGAACATGTGTTGGAGAAGCCCAAGGCAGACAGGGGACTCAAGAAGGAGCAGAATGACAATCTTCCTCAAGGTTTGAGAAGCATGTTTCTAATTATTGAAGGAGGGTTCTTTGTTTTCTGTGACTCCAGGCCGTTGGCTTCTGTGCTTTAAAACATGGTCCCTACAAGCAATGAGACTGAAATAATTTTCTTGGGATTTTCCCATAACCGGGACGTGCAGAAGATCATTTCTGTGTTTTTCCTCCTCATGTACACAGCCATTGTGCTGGGTAATGGCCTCATCGTGGTGACCATCATGGCCAGCAAAGGACTCACATCCCCCATGTATTTCTTTCTCGGCTACTTGTCCTTTGTGGAGATCTGTTACTGTTCTGTCACAGCCCCCAAGCTCATTCTTGACTCTTTTATCGAAAGGAAAGTCATTTCCGTCAAGGGCTGCATCACACAGATCTTTTTCCTCCATTTCTTTGGTGGCACCGAGATCTTTCTCCTGGTGGTGATGGCCTACGACCGCTACGTGGCCATCTGCAAACCTTTGCACTACACCGTCATCATGAGCCGTCGTGTGCGTGGCCTCCTGGTGGGTGCAGCCTGGGGTGGGGGCTTGCTGCATTCTTTTGGGCAAACCTTCCTCATTTTCCAGCTGCCTTTCTGTGGCACCAAGGTCCTTGACCACTACTTCTGCGATGTGCATCCTGTGCTGAAGCTGGCTTGCTCGGACACCTTCCTCATTGGCACGCTCATCATCGCCAATGGCGGCTCCATATCGGCGGTGGCCTTCGTGCTCCTGCTGGCCTCGTACGTGGTCATCCTGCACTCCCTGAGGAGCCAGACCGCAGACGGCCGGCGCAAGGCCCTCTCCACCTGCGTCGCCCACGTTGCGGTTGTGAGCCTGTTCTTCATACCCTGTTCCTTTGTCTACCTGAGGCCCTGTGTCACCCTCCCTGCAGACAAGATTGTTGCCGTGTTTTACACGGTGGTCACACCTCTCTTAAACCCTGTCATTTACTCCTTCAGGAATGCTGAGGTGAAAAATGCCATGAGGAGACTAGTGAGAGGAAAGTGACTTGGGAAGAGAGGCGGATGATCTGGGTGGGACGAATAGGCGAAACCAAGGATGGGAAAATGGGGCACCGAGCTCTCATTCTGCCTCTAGTTCTGGCTGAGAGAGTGGCCTTTGGGCCTCTCACCTTCTTTCTATAAGCTTAAGTCTTCTCTCCTTTAGGGATTGGACAGAATTGCAGAGGTCTCTAGGATGAAGCCTTGGAGGGGCCTCCTAGTGCCGCACCTCCACGTTTGACAGTGACCTTGAGGTAGATCGGCTGGTTTTGAGAGGATGAACTCTTCCAGAAACCAGGGTCTCTCAGGGAATAATGAAGAGGGAGGTGGAAGAGGAGGGGAACTGCCCCAGGGAATAGCACCCATGTGTGCTTTGTGTTTGAAAAGCCTCAGCTTTTGGAATTTGGGAGGTGACTGATGGGAAGGGAAGAAGTGGTCACTCAAATGCTGAGAAATTTGATTGACCTGACATACTGAGAATTTGCCCCATGGGTTCTGGGCAGACCAACCTGCCCTAGAAGGGTTTAGTCCTCAGGACAGAAGGTGTTTTGACTCTTGACAGAGGTTCATGTGAACTCAAGCTAGAGTCATGTTTTCAAGGAGTTTTAAAGTGATGTGAGAGCACTAGACCATGCTATCTACTCTGTGGACACAAGTTTTATTTCCCATGTAATACTGACATTTTGATGTTTAAAATTCTCTTCTGTTCTTTTTCTCCTGCTTTTCCTCACCATGCCTCCGGTTGTTTGGCCCATTAGTTTGCTCTGTGTTCAGCCTCTTGGCTTCTTGTGTTTCTCAGCTGGTCCCACAAAGTCCACAATAATTCACTCTCTTACACCACCACCATACTGACTTGGTCACTCTCCATCCAGGCGCACTCTGCTCCTTTTCCTTCTTCATTCTGAAGCTGCCGTTGCTTAAAGTATGGGTTTAACTGCTCTTGGGTCCTCACTGCTTGTCCTGATATTTTAATGATCATTTTTTGAGTCCTACTTCATGTAGTCACCACGATATGCCACATGAATACACCCCCAAACGCTAACCCCAATACTGACCGTCATGCACAGCCGATGATTTGTTTCTCACATGCTTCTAGATAAATCACCCGAAAGCACCACTCTAATTTCACCATTCCCCTCTTCAGAAATCTTCGATGACTCCCCATTGCCTTGTGAATCGACCACAAACTCCTACTTGACACGCAACACCCTCAAGGCATGACCCTCTCTTAATGTTCTATTTTAATTTTCAGTTACACTCTGGTAGAGCTCACTGTTTTCTGAATATCCCCTCGTGCCTTCCACCTAAGATCTTTTCCCCATTGCTACCTGTTAACATCCTATCTACCTTCCCATGCCCATCTCAAATGCTGCTTCTGTGTTTATCCTATCTGGTTATGTCTTTTTCTTTATTTGAATTCCAAGAGCACTCAGCTAGAGTCCTTTAAAGCCTTCACTACCTATAGGAGTTTGTCTGAATCTTACTCATCTTTGTACCTTGCTCTAAATAACATACAGTAAAACTCAATAAATACTGGGTCAATTAAGTTTCTGGAAGTCATTATTGTTCTCTCTCTCTTTTCATCTCAATTATCTAAATAATATACCAATGTTACACACTTAAGAAAAAACCACTAATCACTCTTGATATCGTTTCTGAGAACAATAAGAAATAAGGAGGAGGTATGTGTATATACTTTACTGTTAACCAAGAGATTTCATATATTTTATCTCATTCGAGCTGAAAATACTCTGGTGAGATGAGTATGAGGCCCCTGTTTTACAGATGAAGAGAATGAATCTTTGGCAGGTCAGTGTCTTGATCAAGTTCATATAATGACTCACAGAGGCTAAGTATAAACCTAGGTCCACCTGATTGCTACGTCCCTGCCTTCTCTGCTCATTCCTCTCTTTCTTTATAAAGATCACCAGAACATAAATACATCTAAGTCTCTGAATTCCAAATCTGAGGCCTGATAATCTCCTTATTATCAGGCATTTCCCTCTGGAATCATTTCAAAAGAAATAAAAAGTTCCAAAAAATATGTAGCATGAACCGCTTTATGGGTGTTCACAGGTGTTCCTGGGTCCACAGAAAACCAGAGCCTGCAATGCCAGATTGGGAATTGGCAAATAAGAAAGCAGGAACACATGCTGCTTCTGTGAGCTCAGGCTCCTCTTCTTGTGTAGGCAAAACCTGGGCATAGCTGCAAGAGGTACCTATGCATTGGATTAAAACTCAGTGTGGTGGCCAAGAGAGATTTTTTTCTATTGACGTAATACTGAAAGTGGAGTCATTCTTGAGAGAACCATTCGGATCAGGAAAAGGGAAATAGGCAGCAAAAGGCTAATATGAATTGAGCATGCACCAATAAATTTTCTAAAATTAATCTCAGGACAGTGTTGCCCCATAGGTGGGACGAAACTCAGTTTGCAGTTGAAGACAGTGCAGATGGAGTACTGTTTCCAAGCTCTTGATGTTTTTTTCTATACTGGTTGTTTGTGAACCATGATTTAGAGTCCAGAATTCTTCAGGTGTTTCAGGGGTTGGGGCAGGAAGCACAGGAGAGGATGGAGGCAGCCAAACAGGCATGTGTGGGACTTTAATCACAACAGCTGATTATCTTTTCAAAATCTTTTCCATATAGATTTTTGTCGATGAAAAGTATTCAAATTCTAAAAAAAGTTTAAGAACCACTATAATATACTATGTTTATTCTTTCTTGTTCGGTCCTAGCCAGGTGTGGCTTGGTTATGGAGTGGCAGACTTTAGGAAATGACCTTCGTTCTGAGAAAGAGAAGCAGATCTGAGCTTTCTTCTAGGTCCAAGTCCAGAGACTCAAGGCAAGACCTTCTTCAATGAGAGTGAAGACATACTTCAGAAAATGCAGCTTGTCCAATCTGAGTGAACTCCTGCAATGTTGACACAGCCTGGTCTGAAATTGCTTCACTCCTTGGTATGATGGCACTATAGCATCTTTCTGTTACGACTGCAGACTGTGCCACACAACTCATAGCATTCAGTCTTCTTGATAAGTTTTAAAAATCTGTGACTTGTATAAAACTAGACGTTCTATGCTTTGATTGTTTATGTGTATGGTTAATGTCGAGAAAATTGGGTGAAAGTTATGTTATTCCTAAGTTATTCTGAGAATTCTAGGTGTTAAGACTTTTTTTTACCAGTCTGAGAAGCCATGTCCAGAGACACTTTGTTGGTTCCCTCACTTATATTTGCTCAGTATCCACATTCAGGGGCATGAGGCATCCGATAGAGCTATGGCTTCTCTTGGAAAAGTCTGAGAAGCCAGGTGTTGCAATGGAGTGAATAACATAAATGGTTATCATGGTGTATCTTCTGAAAACCATGACTTTTTTTGTGGATGAAAACCTACTCTGGAGAATCGCACCCAGTGTTAGAGCTGACACAGTCATAGCAATTATAGGCAGAGCATCATGGCATATGGGCACTCGGGAAGGTATTATGGCCACTATTTCACATGGATACAGCTAATAGATGATTTTGGCTAAAATCACAGAGTAGATAGGTAGAGTGGGGATTTGATCTCACAACAGCTGAATTCTCGAGGTCATGCCTTTTTCATACCCAACACTTGCACCATAAGGGAATCTAATTCACATCTTCCTTTCAGAGTACAAAGCTCTTTAAAAATCTTTAGTGAAACTGAAAGTCACCCCGTAGTCCATCTTTTATTCAGTATAAAATCTGATCGGAGTGGTGGTGGTGGTGGTGGGGGTGTCCCCTGAGCGGCAGCTGTAAAAACTTGGGCACCGGGTTGTGTAAAATCTCCACCTGCCCCACGCTGGTGCTTTGGAGCGGGACAGAGGGAGAGCGCGAAACGGCCCCGCCCAGCCCCCGTAGCCGGGCGTGGGCATCCCAGTTAGGCCTCAGGGCCCGGCAGATGCTCGATGTGGGCACGTGGGTCTGGGCGCTTTCCAAACAGCGGCCTGTGCTCTGGACCCTGGCGCGGTGAGTCTGCCTCCCTGCTCCGCATGAGGCTTTTCTCAGTTCGCTGCCGCCCTTTGCATTCGGATATGAGCCTTGTTGGTTTTCAAAGCCGTATGTTTTGGGGTCTCTCAGGTGCCGGTCTTCAAAGTTAGGGGTGCCTAATGTGGGGTACGAATGCTTCGCTCCTCAGGGAGAAGCGCTTGGTTTGTGAGTTCCCTCCCCGTGGTGGGTTCCCGCCAGGGCGGGGGTGGGTGTATGTCGAGACTATGTCTCTTTCCTGCCGGCTTGGTTGTGGCCTTTTCCTCGTTTGCCTGATGTGAAGGAGCTGCTCAGTTGGTTTCAGGTCTTTTTCAGAGGAAATTGTTCCGTTTGTAGCGGTAGTTTTAGTGTGTCCACGAGGGGAGGCGAGTTCGGGGAGGTCTTCTGTCGCCATCTGGAATCGCGTCTGGTTTTGTGTTAAAACCACCTCGCGTTCCTGGCATAGGCCCACTTGGTCATGATATATTGTCCTTGGTATACATTACTTCATTTGATTTAAATATGTTTTATTAAGGTTTTTTTTTTTTTCATCTGTGTTCATGAGTAATGTCTGTGATTTTCTTTTAATTTTTTTTTTTTTGGTAAGAGCTTGGTGGCAGAGTTAAGCTGCTCTTATAAATGACTTGAAGAGTTTTCCATTCTAGTTTTGAAAACGTTTGTGTAAATTTGGTGTTGTTTCTACTTTAAATGTTTGATGAAACCAATGAAATTATCTTGGTTGGAGTTTTTTGGTGTTTGTAATATTTGTAAACTATGGATTCAATTTAACAAATACGAGGCTATTCAGATTTTCTGTTTCATTTTGGGTCAGTTATGTAAATTGTATTTTTTCTAGGAATTTATACTTTTCACTTAAATTGCAGACTTTAATAATTTTAGGTCAACAAGTGACATTGATGTTAAAACTTATGATTGTTCATAATCTTATATTATGTATCATAAAAGTCTGACGTTTGTCCAATTTTTTCTTTTTTCATTTTTTTACATGATTAATTTCTATTATGTTCTTCCTTCTACTTTGAT